TGGCGAGGATAGTGGCGTAGCGGGTGTTATTATTTATATTTTGGGCGTACATTTCATTTCTGTAAACTCCTGACGGCGAATAAATCAATTTTCTATAACAAGATATTCAATTTTTGAAAAATATACCCGGTGTTCCATTTCAAATTTGCATGTTTTTACTAACTTTGCGATATTCATTTGTTTGTTAACATTTACTGGCGATTTATGATCAACTCCACACTTTATATTCAACATTTTTTTCTCTCTTATAATAAACGCGCTGTCTAAATATAAAGAATATATCTGTACACATACCAACAGAGAGCATCTTCTCACTGTCGATTCTAACACCCTAGTCAGTATTTGTGGAGTCAGGCTTAATTTTAGATAAAAAGAGTTAGTGTTGCTATCGAGGGGTAAACCGCAACCCAAATTTTGTACACTGATTTCCTATAAATATTAGATTTCCTCTGAGTTCCTTCGAGTTCTTCAGAGTTCATTTGATTTCTTCGGAGTTTCCCTGATTTCCTCCGAGTTCCTCCAACTTCCACGAAATACCTCTGATTTCCTTGGAGTTCCCTCGATTTTCTTTTGGAGTTCCTGTGAGTTCCTCTGATTTTTTAAAGTTTTTTAATTATTTCATTGTTATTCCGTTGATTTAACAATTTCCTGGTAAGTAAAACCCGAGGTAAACCATAAAAAAAATATAAAAGTGTCAAGTGTCAGTTAAAAAAGTAATCGTAAACGATTTACATAAAGCGCATTTCCACTTGCATTCATTTCCCATTTGTAAGATGCAACTTCTGTTAAAATCGTAAAATCCGGCCACAAATATGAAAGATAGCGTTGCACATGGGCAATCCATTGTTGACGTGCTACTTCAATTTCAGTTTATGAGAAGAATTTCATTTCAATGTTTTCTAAATAAGAAAGTTGGAACTGCGCATGCGCAAACCTAAATTTTAAAACTAAATGTTAGATTTTCCTTTGTTCCAAGCGCCTAAGTATCAAATTTCACTTAAATAGTTCCATAGATAAAAAAGTTGGCACTGCGCATGCGCAAAATAAAATTTTGAAACTGGCACTAGATTTTCCTTTATTCCAAGTGCCTATGTATCAAATTTCATTTAAATTCTTCCATAAATAAAAAAAGTTGGCACTGCGCATGCGCAAAACCAAATTTTGAAATAGGCGTTTGATTTTCCTTTATAGTGCCTATGTATCAAATTTCATTCAAATACTTTTATAAGTAAAAAAGTTTGCAATTCGGTTTATAAATGGTCGAGATGCGAAAAGGGCACTGTGAATTTTGAATCGATTCGATTCAACTTTTGGCATTGCGTATTATATGGCTAAATCTATGCCCATATTGAATTTCATGCAATTCAGTTCATAACTCACGGAGATGTAAAAGCGATCGAACATTTCTAAACAAAGTTATCGTTCACACGGACAGATAGATGGACAGACAGACAAAGGAACAGACGGAGAGACCAATCGGCAGGCGACAGATAGCAATGCAAAATTATAAACGATCTCTAGGATCGTTAATAAACGGCAAAAGTGTAAAATTATGGAACATGTAAAAAACGGTTTTTTGTTTTTTTTTACAATAACTTTTTTTGTAAGCGGTACAGAAAAAATTCCTTCCTTGGTACAAGACTCGACACCATAACGAACCAAATAGCGAAAAAAGTAGAACAATAGCTCCTAAGATAAAGAACTAGTAGCGTCGCAAAGTTAGCGGACGGACGGATAAAGACACGACCTTAGACGAAACACTATTTTATATTTTAATAGACCTATTTGCAATGAGAAAAACTCATTATTAAATGAGAAAAATACCATAAACAAATAAAAAAATTAGTTAAGACCAAATTAAATAATAAAATGCAGCACGAGTTCCTTTGATTTCTTTAGAGTTCCCTTGATTTCCTCGGAGTTCCTGTGATTTCCTTGGAATTCCTCCTGAATACACATGGAATTCCTTGGAATTCTTAGCTTTCCTAGGAGTTCCTCCGGAATTCCTATGATTTCCCATAGATTTCCTCAAACGTGTACACTGATTTCCCATCGCGGTTTACCCCTCGGTTGCTATAGTGTGATGATTATCTTATTGTAACCTAAATTTATTACGCGATTTATTTATATAAAATTACTTATTAACGTTCACAGGAACTAACAGTATTAATAATAAACTAAATTTAAAACGATCCTTAAATAGATTTCTAAAAATTCAATTTTTATCTTTTATAATACCAACTTGTGGTTATTTATCACTTGGACATCGATATTAAGACTGAGATTAAACATAAAAAACATAAAAACCTAGAAACCATAGCTTATTTCCTTTTTTTTTCAAGAACTCACACAAAAGTATGTCTTCGGCATCATCCGATTCTGATTCAGAACAAAAGTTGAATAATAACAATTGTTTTGCTCATGTATCAGACATTTTCAATGTGGCAGCTCTCTATTGATTACGTATGAGACGAGGCCCAAAAACAATTTCATACTTTTTTGGACTGAAAAATTGGCAAGCATTCTTTATGGCGCGCAAAGGGGTATTTTTTAGGGGATAAGACACACTGTTGAAGCTCATGGTGTAAACTTCTAATACATTTTTAAGATCTTTCTAGTCATAGTACATAGTCAATAATTTCTAATTTTTCAATTTTTTGTAAGACTCACATTTTCTTTGCTTGGGAAAGTAGGATTAGTGGTTTTTAGTGCGTTTGAGTACGTTATTTGTTATTTTATTAATATTTATTTATTTACAATTAATGGATTGTGTTGGTCGTGACATAATTATATATTGTTGTATTGTCGTCTATATTGTATAATTTTATTATTTTGATTGATTAATCGAGTAATCGAAAATAATAGAAGCACTCAGTTGCGCAACACGTTCATGTGACGATTCGTTTCGAACTGTAGCTGCGTTTGTTTCAGAGATACAGGGTGAAAACAAAAAGTTTGACTTTTTGGAATTTTATTTTACTATCCATGTCAGATAGAACAAGTCAACAGGTTTTCGCCCTAAGGAGAGTAGCTTTAGTGCATTTTCCATGCATGTATCAGTTCTTCCCAAAAGGCTATGGGTATGTTTTTCTTTACTAAAAGCATCTATGGTTTAAATTTCAAAAAAATCAAGTAATAAGAAAGTTGGCATTGCGCAATCTATGCATTTGCGCTTCTTTGCGATATGTTCGGTTTACTAGAAGCATCTATGGGTAAAATTTCAAAAAAATATCTTCATAAATAAGGAAGTTGCCCAGAAGGCGCATGCGCACATGAATGGTTAAGATTTTTCTTAGTTCAGGTGCCAAAGCTATAAGCTACCGAATTCAAAAACAACAAACTAAATATATTGAAAACTCTGGAGTAGTTAAGGCCTTGGACGGACCCTTTCTGATATTTGACCCAAAGTTGGTATTTTTAAATGCAACACCCTGTATATTTTATTCCAGTGTTTTTCAGGCTTTTTCTTGATTACATTGATGTAACACAAGCTACGTTTATTTTATATAATTACATATTATATCATATTTTTCAAAATTTTGAAATGACATGTTTCTACAATTGGCCATTTTTTTTTAATAAGTAAAACAAAATCTCCATGAATTAATGGCCTACTATTTAAAAATAGTAAAAAAATTAAGGTTTTTATTGATTTTCATGGCTAAAATTAAAACAAAGATTAGATGGTGATACATCAATGTAATAATGAAAAAAAAATGCAAAATGATTGACGTTAGGATATACAGGGCGTTGCATTGAAAATATACCAACTTTGAGTCAAATCTCAGAAACAGTGGTCCAAAAATTTTATTTGACTGTGTTATTGGATTCTACATAAAAATATCTAAAATGGGGATTTTTTACCTTTTTTCTATCTTACATAGGTCGTAAAATATGATAACATCTCAAAAGTCTAACGTTTCTATTTCACCCTGAATCTCAGAAACGAACATAGATACATTGAACCTGTTTGCGGTATCAAAAGTATCATAAAACAAGTGGCACAGGGTGCCGGAGAAAAACCAGGTATTTATTTTTTACAGCCCCCCTGCCGTATTTGTGAAAACTAGCTTTGATTTGAAGGAATTTTGCAAAAAATTGATATGGAAAGGCATACCCAAAAACCTAGCATTCAATTAGTAGTTCTATAATTTTTTTTACCGAGAAACAAATGAAAAATACATAAAATTGGAGCGCAATGTTTTTTTACATACTTACATGTTACACCTTCTATATTTCGCATACTTTCAGTGACAGAATAATGCAATCTTTAATATCAATTATAATACACAAAAAAATATTATTTATTTTGTACACTGCATAATAATAAAATATAATAAATAATTGCATGTTAACAAGATAATACTTACCTCCACAATAAACTTCACGCACAGAACTTGAAACAAACTTCAATATCACCCAGCAGGACGTACAAAGCAAGCTATCGTAGGTCTTTAAAAATGACAACTCACAATTTGCAATAGAAAAAATGAGAAAAGGCTTTGCAATGGATACGCACACAATATTCGTTTGACAATGACAAATAATAGCAGTCATAAAAGAAAGGGTTATAGGTAGTTACATGAGTCAAATTTATTATTCTGTTAACAAATTTATCATTTGACTTCTGTAACGACAGTTCCAAATGAAGGTTTAATCTTCCACAGGCCTCAGCTGTTACAATCACTCAGACATTAATTTAAGAACACCCTGTATTCGTTTGCTTACGGATTGCCAGACTTAATTCCGTATTACTGTCTGCCGTACCAAAAGATTGAAGCACATGTTTTATGGGCTGAAGGGCCTTTATTTGCTCATTTAAACTTTTCAATGGAACTTTTTGTACTGTAAGGCCTAGTTTTTGAGATATATCACTTAAAAGATGAATATGGCATTTACTAAACTCAATCAGTCTGAAGCGTTGAGGAACACTACTCTTACAAATGGAAAGTTACACCTTCATTTGTATCAATTTTGTTACGAGAAAAAAATCCACAAACCTTGATTGTCGCTTCCTCCCCCGATATCCGTCGATGTACTAGCCTTCGGTTCGTCTATGGTAGTATCCGCCATCGAAAAATCGTCTCCATCATCCCCGTTATCTTCGGCATTAGCGTAATCCGCATATTGGTCAATTTGACTATCGTTCATTGTCTCAGTATCAGATTGCTGTTCATTAGCGGCTTCGGTTGGTTCTGGTTTGAAATTCGAGACATCCTCCGTTACCTCGCTATTTGTGTTAACCGATGTCACTTCGAATTTGGAGGCAGAGGATATTACGGGTAGGGTCTTAACATGGCTCGATGCGATTGGGTTTAACTTAGGTTTCTTGGAGGCGGGGCCGGAGAATTTTTTCGGACGGCTTGTAGCTTTCTTAGTGTCGACTGCGGCAGTCTCCATTTCTTCACTTTCTGCGTTCGTTTGACCCTAAAACCGCAAATAAGTGAACTATTAGAAATTAATGAAAAAAAAAACTTGCCTCGTTATCACCAGTGAGTCCTTTAATTTGTAAAGCTTCGGCCGTCTTAATAAACAAGGACAGATTCTCTTGAGCAACTTGCACTTCGCCTTGATACATAAATTGCAATAAATCCATCAGTACGACGTAACTAACATCTTTCATGAACACAATGGGATGTTTACACGGGTTGCTTTGGAATAATTCACGAAAGTAAGGGCTACAAACGGAGAGAACCATCTTGTGTGCCTTCAAGTATCGGCCCTCGATGGCCAAGGTGACGTCAACCAAAACTTCATTTTCGAGCAAGGACTGCATTCCCATGCTCATATTGCGATGGAAATTATCCCAACACAGTGAAAACTGCTCTGAAGCCATTTTCATGGAAAAATTCCACAACTAAAGGAAAAATCCAATTTAGACAAATATGGCGGCGTAAACTGAAGATGTAAATGGCTCTAAGGACCCAACTTACCGTTTATCACAAAATCATTCAACGAAAATGATAAAGTTCTTGGACTATACAAAAATGGGCGCTAAAATGCTTTACATACAGCGTAAAATAACTAAAAGATTCTCGGAAAGAGAACTACGAATTCGAATGAGTAAACGAACTACAAGAATGGACGCTAGAAAACAGCAATGTTGCCAAATCCATACCGTGATTCATTCTTTAATCGTGATATACAGGGTCACGTAAAATAAATTAATTAATTGAGAATCATGCTCCTAGGCTATTTTCAGTCGTTTGGACGTTGAAATTTATACAGTGTGTTGTATTACGTATCTATTGTTGTTTGAATATGTGGCAAGGACTACGTTTGTATTATGAACAACAAATGAGTACTTAAAATTTTTCCGCCTGATTAAACGCAACACAGCGTACACTTTTTTTCATTTTTATAATTCTCATTACCGTAAGATAATATGCGGTATTAGAATAAATGTAATATTAAGTAAAAGAATATTTTGTCATGAGCTGTTCCGCAATAAACGAAAGTCTTTTTCCTGATATCAAATTCCCCTCGTATTCCCCTTCCGCGAGTCTCTCCTCATGGTTCCTTCAACTTCTGTTACGTTGTCCTCAAATCCTCAAAATGTTTTGAAATTCTTAACTTCGTATATTCTGTGGTAATATACCCCTACGGTTAATCAATACCTGTCACAAATGACAAGATCGCAGCATCTTCAATTTGTTATTCCTTATAGATTTTGCATAAAATATTAATATTTAAGCGTGGCGTACTTCAAGCTGTTGTTTATGTACTGTTAGTAAATGACGTTTGTTTGTTATTTACATTGTTTTATTACCTATTTATTTATGTATTCACGAGGTGGTTTATTGTCAGTGATGCTGCTCTGTATGATTCGATTTAATTATTAAGAAAGTAACTATAATACAGTTCGATTATTCTCTGCATCTGTTGCTCTCCCACCTCGTGCAGACCACAGCTCTTCCTCTTAGCATGTACCTACTTTTCGTGTTAATTATATGGTAGCCGAGGCTGGAGTAGATCCACGCCATTTTTATGGTTTTTCATGTACAAGCAATTTACCATTTTACCAGTAAATGTGTTTACTCTGTGCCTGTACTTAATTGACGATCGTGTAATTATGATGTCTGTTGTGCTTGTTGATTTACTGCATTTGACTCGATACCTAACTTTCATGTTAGGTACCTACGTTTTGAGATGTTTGATTTGTATATTTTGCTCTTTTGCATTTTGTTGTATTGTATTTCGTGTACCTATTTGTATGGGTTATGCCAGGTTTTTGCCCATAAAATGTTTTCCTGGTATAGTTAAAATATTTTATTTGTTCTTGTCTTTTATTACGCACAAAATTCTGCGTTTTCTTCAATTGTCTTCTCAGTCTCACGTCCATCGTACCCTCCATATCAATTCTTTCTGTTTAATGCATGTTTTTCTGACGAATGCATCCCGAAAAATTGAATGTTTGGACTGGCATTTTTGGTAACCATATCGTAGGCCCCTTCTTTTTACCTGGCAATTTAACAGGAGAAATGTACCTGGAGTTATTAGAAAATACGATTCATCCAGCATTAGTGAAGATACTAGACAATAACAACGAGTACTTTGAAAATCGTCTAGTATTTTAGCAGGATGGTGCGCCACCCCACTATATGCTACAAGGGTTTGGACCAAACGTTTTCATGAAAATAGATTGGAAGAAGAGGAGCTATTGAATTGCCTCCTCGTTTCCCCGGACTTAAGTCCGTTAGATTTTTTTTATGGGGCCATGGGGACAACTTGCGACAAAGAATAATTGATGAATGTCGTCAAATCACCCCAGAAGTTTTTCAAAATGTACTGGAGAGGTTTGAACAAAACCTGTATTATTATATGGAATTCGAAGGCCAACATTTTCAACATTTACTTTATTGATTTTAGTTTTAAGCACTTAAAATAAAATTGATTTAAAACTTATGGGTTATAATCCACATAAAAATACCTTCAAAATAAGGTATCACGCGACCCCACATTCGATTAAAAATTCTGGGGGGCTTGTCATGTTTTGAGGTCCCCAAAATAGGCTCTGTTTCGTTTTCAAATCGCCACCCTGTACATATAATAATGAAATCAAGATTTTAAACAAACGCATTTGCATAATAAAGATTCTTTTTTTTTAAACTCCATGCTTTAAGATAACCCTGCTTACAGTTATATTTGATTAGCTCCTCTCAGGCTTTACTTGCTTTTGGAATTGATATCCACTTTGGACAAAGTTTGCCCTCGGGAAATTTCACCCAACCAAAATCAGAAGGATCTGGAGCATGAATCAGAGGATTTCTAGCAGAAGCCCATATGCTCGCTTGATACACAGCCCTTTTGCAGTGTAGCAGTAGAGCATCTTGCGTGGGAGACATGGTCTCTAGGTTATGGTGGCCTTTCTAAGCTGGTTCAAACTATTTGTTTCCCCGCTTAAATGTTAACAAAAAAGTTTATAGTTCACTGAACAAGAGAGTTTACTTATAAATGGTTTAGTCAAAATCTCACACATTGCGGATATTAATGATTCTCCTCTTCTTTGCATTGCAAGGAATGTGGTCTTTTTTTGTTCTTCCTCTGATCGACGATGTGGAATCTGTTAGGATGGTAAATAAGTGCAGAGCGCGGCTAAGTTTTGACCCCAAAGCGTGGTAAATGTTTCCTATATTTAATTTTCTTCTGTTTTTCCCGTTCCATAATATACAGGGTGGTATTTTTAAGTGGACCATTAGCAGTATTTCAGAAACGGTTTGGAATTTCGAATCGGAACCCCATTACCTTTTTTGAATAATCGATCAAAAGGAATCATTTAAAAATATTTTCAAGATGGCCGCTTTTCCGGTTGTATCAGAACGGCACCGGAACTTTCTTATTTCAAATCTGATGGCATTTTCGAATTCCTCATAAGGAATCATCATTTTAGAGCCTGCACATCTACACTGTAGCAGAAAGCTTCTAGTGAAAACTTGAAGTCTGTAGCTATTGTAATTGCTGAGATCTCAGCCGCACAGCCAGCCAGCAATTACGAATATAATAACGTATTTTTTAAAAAAATTCGCTAAAAATGAACTACATTCCCTAAATTTAAATTGCAAGTGGCATACAATGTCGTAAAGGGTACTTCATGACTTTTGGACGCTTTAAACGTGAACATTTAATTTTCAAAATATCCACATTAAATGTAGGTACAATCGATAGCAAATTTAGCACCGAACTCCCTGCGAAAGATCGTGGATGCAATAGCAACGAAAACGATGAGTATGAAGGTATTTTTCTTCTTCTTATATACACATTCATTCACTTCATTAGACCACGAAAACTGGTGGGTAAGGGTTAATAGTGAACAGTAGTAAGTACACACAAAAAGAGCGCGTGACCAATCAGTAGATACGAAAAAAAATATAATTTTGTTGTGTACTCATAGCAAGTCACGTTGTATCTACTGATCAATTAAGCATTCGATAGCCAATATTGCCGCTGCATAAACATACGTGACCATTAAAAGAAGCTATAGATTAGATTAGAATAAAAACCAGGTTAAAATTCAGTCTGGCAATGACGACGTTACCAACGACGCCACGCAGACTGACGTCACCTGACGCCCCTAGAAAATTCGACGCCGAAGCGCAAGCCGCCGCGCACGGGATGCAATAAAGGCTTCGAATGTATTCTCTCCAGTCAGTGAGTGACATGATAGCATCAGCACGTCTTCATAGGCAACACCATCCGCGCGGAAAGACATGTATCAAGATGAACATGGAATCGGCAAAAATCATTTTTACGGTAAGTTACCTTTGCGATTCAGCATTCCAAAATTTGCTACCATTTTTATTCATCATAAATTGAAATTTTTACGGAAAACTATACGGAAGGAAGCCACCGGCATTTTTTGGGGCGGTGACTCTACGCCACCAAAAACTGTTTTACTAGTTTTCCATTTCTCGGCGTGCAAAATTTAGCCAAGCGCTTGATAGAAAAAGTCATTTTTAATCTTAAAGTTAAATAGTTTGAGGTTTTAATATCATTGATTTAGATTAATTTTTGGCAAAAAAATCCAAATTGAACAATTTTTGAGGTCTCACGATGAAACTAGTTACTTTTCCAAAGAACGAAATGTATGACCTTAAAATAACCTTTGACTTTGGAAGACGAATCCACCTCAGCAGCGATGAATGAATAGCGAAAAGAGTAGAAAAATGATTTTTTTAGTATACCTGTTCACAGTAATTCCAGCATGCGGTTAATTAAGTGCCAGATAAACATTAAATCTGTAGGTAATAAGCGTGGGTGTTACTTTTCATTGATCAACGAATCCCGCCAAGCGTCTGGACGCTGACTTGCGCGTCCTACCTGAATTTACTACAAATTTAAATAACAATTTTAATTGCAAATTCCCATTCACGCCTCCTGGAACGAGAAATAAGGAAAATGCACAAACAAAATCCATTGTCACGCAAAATGTAAGCAACAAATCAAAGTCAAGCCGTCCAAAACCATTTTTCAACTGTGGATAAATGGAAAATGTACACTCGGTCCGTAGAATGAATGAAATTCTATTAACCCTACTCTAGCTGCACGCTTTTTAATTACAAACTGAAAAATTCCATTTTACTTTAGTAGAGCTGTTAGGCACAGGTGGCGAGACAAAGAAAAACGCTTCATTTTTGAACGATTGTCACAGTCTATCTTTGACAAATTCCAGCAACATCGTTTCGTAGAACCAAGAAAGCTCAATGTAATGTGGTTCGTTTCTAAATTTATAAATAATCGTGAAAGGATAACCAAAATATAAGGGGTTATTCTAGAGCCTCATGAAAATCATTCAATATTGAAAAGTGTTCAGAGATTGCAACAAATTAGAATTCAGAAGAATTTTTTCAAGAAAGTTTTTTTTAAATTGTGGCGAAGATAAAATGTCACGCCTATAATTATGGCCTTTACCAAAGGAACAACAAAAATGAGACAGATGTCCCAAAATGGTTCTTAGTAGGTAGATAATTTTAAAGGAATGCCTATTCCCCAAAATGGTATGCATAATTCGATCTGGTATTTGGAAGTTTTTAAATACATCACATTGCAAAAAATTGGTTTTAATAAACATACAGTCGTATACAAACATGTCTTAGATTG